ACCTCCAAAGTGCTGGGATTAAATGCATGTATCACTACACATAGCTTTGTGTGTATGTGTGTCTGTGTGTACATTTGTGTTTGGGGGCCAGATATTGATATGTCTTCCTCAGTCATGCCCTACCTTATTTTTTGAGACAGAAGCTCTCCCTGAACCTGGAGCTCACCAATTCAGTTATACTGGTTGCCTAGCAAGTTCCAGAGATTCTCCTGTCTCTACCTTCCCAGAGCTGGGATTAAAGGCATATGCTATTACATTGCATTTTTTATGCCTGCATGGTGTGCCTGCATGGTGTGATACTTAATATTGTCAATATGACAGGATTTAGAATCCTTTGGGTATGTGTGAGAGGGATTATGTAGATTATATTGAGGTAGAAAGATCCATGATAAACGTGGGCAGCACCATTCATTGGGCTGGAGTCCCAGACTGGATAAAAAGACATTATGTAGCATTCCAAATCATGTAGTCAAGAGAAGGTGGCACAGGGAAGAAGGCTTCATGTGGGTAAGATTCCAATGCAGGTGTTCTCCAGTGCCCTATCTCCGTGATCACCTCCCCACAGAAGTGCTTTGCCTTCCCTGTAGTCCCAGACCGGTCTCTGTGAGTTCTCAGTGTCCACAGAGTACCTGCTTCTATGCCATCTCCAGCCTTGGGTGACAACAAGCCAGTTGCCCATGCTAGCTCGATATTTTCCCAAAAATCATAAACTTTAAATTCAGTGGAGGGAAAAATCAATTTTTCTTTCAAAACATTTTATTTGAGCCAGGTGTGATGGTGCACACCTTTAATATTAGCACCCCGGTGGCAGAGGCAGGTGGATCTCTGTGAGATCAAAGCCAGCCTGGTCTACATAGTTCCAGGCCAACTGGGGCTACAGGGAGGCCCTATCTCAAAAATAAATAAATAAATAAAATAAATAAATAAATAAATAAAAATAGCAACAACAAAATCTCATTAATGGTAACATTAAATTTTTAAAAATGTATTAATGTATCTGTGTGTAGGTATGTTCATGAGTACAGTGCCCATGAAGGAGAGAACAGGGCATCATATCCCCTGGAGCTGGAGTTACAGGCAGTCATAAGCTACCCAAAGACATGGGTACTGGCAACCAAACTTGGGTCCTCTGCAAGCACAGTATGCACTCTTAATAGCTGAGCCATCTCTCCAGCCACTTATATTTCTCTCCCCCACTTTCCATTTTCATGTCTGTATGTGTGGGGTGCATGTGTATGCATGTTTCCATGGTGGCACACATGTATGCAGGTGCATGTGAACATGTGTACATGTATGTGGAGGCTAGAGGTTTATGTAAGGAATCGTCCTCAAACACTTCCACCTTATTCAATGATGCAGGGTCTCATCTAAACCCAGAGTTCACTGAAACAACTAGTCTTGTCAACCAGTTTGCTCTGGGGATCCCCATCCCCATCTTCTAAGGGTGGAGTTACAGGTAGACCACCACACTCACTCAGCATTTACATGGGATCCAAATCCTGGTCCTTAAACCTGCACAGCTAGTGCTTTAAACATGACACTATCGCCTCAAACTAACTCCTTTTTCATAGTTAACGCTGTAGTAAGAGAAAAGCAACATAATCTTTAGAATGCTATTTCCTGTGCATTGGCTTGCCAGTCTAGCTGAACTGATGAGCTTCAGGGTCAGCGAGAGACCCTGTTTCAAAAAGAAATGTGGGAGAGCAATGAAGGCACTTGGTGTTGATCTTGGGCCTCCACGCATATGCATACATGCACATACTACACTAAAACATACACAACACTGTACATGCTGCTTTCATACATGACAGTGCATGGACACACACACACACACAAATGTCATGAAGTTATACTATTATGGAAAACTTTTTTGAGACAGGTTCTGTAGCCCCAGCTGGCCTGAACTTGCTATGTACACTGGTGGAATGGTCTCTTTCTCAGAGAGATCCACCTACCTCTGCCCCGTGAGTGCTGGGATTAAAGGTGTGTGCTGTCACACCCAGTTTATTATGGGAAACTTTTGCAGATATTCTATGTATGCTTGTGAGATTTTATATATATATATAGTTCAGGCTGACCTGGACCTCAGATCTGTCTTCCAAATGCTGGGATTACAGGATTACAGGTATGCACTACCATGTTTTGCTGTATATATATAATTTATTTTAATATTTTTTATTTTATGTGTATATTGCCTACATGTGTGTAAGAGCACCTGTGTTATGCATGCGTGTGGAGGTCAGAAGAGAGAATTGGATCCCCTGGAACTGGAGTTATGAATGGTTTTAGCTGCCATGTGGGTGCTGGGAATTAAACCTAGGTCCTCTGCAAGAACAGCCAGTGTTCTTAACTGCTTAGCCACCTCTCCAGGCCATATATAATTTATGTGTAGACCCAGCTGACCTGGAACTCACTTTGGAGACCAGGCTGCTCTCTGTCTCAGAGATCTGCCTGCTTCTGCCTCCCAAGTGCTGAGACTAAAAGTGTGTCACCATACATTTTGTAGGGATCTTTTTTTTTTTTTTTTTTTTTTGAGACAGGGTCTCCTTGTAGCCTCAGCTGTCCTGGAACTCACTATGTAGGCCAGGCTGGCCTCGAACTCACAAAGATTTACCTGCCTCTGCCTCCCAAGTGTGGGATTGAAGGCTTGCACCACCACGCCTGGCCTTTGTAGAGCTCTTTTAAACAACTATTGTCCTAGTTTGTTTCTCCATTTCAGTGACAAAATACTCTGACCAATACCAACTAGGGGAGGAAAGGATTTGCCTTATATCTCCCAGGTCACAGTTCATCAGGGAGCCCAAGGTAGGTACGCAAGACAGGAACCTGGAGTCAGGAGCTGAAGCACAGGCCATGGAGGAACACTGCTTACCAGCTTGCTCCTCTGGCCCCTGCTCAACCTGCTTTCTTATACACGATCATATCATGATCTTCCGGGCTCCAAGGGGTTGACGGCAGCTCCACTTCTCTGACTCTGCCATCTGGCAGACCCAGGCCAGTTCCATTCCATACCTGTTACTACTGCCTTTGGTGGTTATCCCATGGCATCTCCAAAAACCTGAGGTCTCCACTGAAACTGAGGCTGCACCTTCACCAATGGCCTCATCTGGCCTCTTGGGGTACAAAGCCTCAGATTCTCTCCATAACCTCTTCAATCCTGGGGTCTTCACTGCAACTGAAGCTGCACTTTCACCAATGGCCTTTCCTGGCCTCTCAGGGTAACAAAGCCTCATTTGTTCTCTGTGATTCCTTCACACTTTAGACACCAAAACCATACAGGAGACTCTTACATATTACCAAGTCCTGCTTCCAGCTTGAGTTGGAGGCTTGGGCCCCCTCTGGACCATAGTTTCTCTGCTGACCCTGAGGAAATACTTCCCAGAAGATTTTGCCACAGTGATGGTGGTCTCCTGTTATTTACAGCTGATTTTTCAGCCCCAGCTGACTAGCACCAATTGTCCCAGTAAAACAAATGTTTCACTTCAGTGGTTCTAGTTCTTAATCACAGCTGATTCTTCAGTCCTAGCCAACCAGAAACCACAGATTCTCAATTCAAAATATTCCACAAACAGTCCTGATAGTCTCTGCTTCCCTTTGAAGCTTCACAAGCTAGGTCTCCATTGTCTACAACTCTTTCAGCATAACTGGTCCAAGCTCCACAGCAACAAACTTTAAACACTCAATGGCTTTCCAGCTCAAAGTTCCAAACACTTCCACAATCCTCCTAAAAACACCAAGGTCAGGTCTACCACAGCAGTACCCAACTCCTGGTACCAATTTCTGTTTTAGTTTACTTCTCCATTACTGTGACAAAACACTCTGACCAATACCAACTTGGGGAGGAAAAGGGTTTTTTTTTTTTTTTTTGTCTTATATCTCCCAGGTCACACACAGTTCATCAGGGAGCCCAAGGTAGGAACTCAGGGCAGGAACCTGTATGCAGGAGCTGAAGCACAGGCCATGGAGGAATGCTGCTTACTAGCCTTGCTCCTCTGGCCCCTGCTCAACCTGCTTTCTTATACAACATAGGCCCATTTGCCCAAGGGTGGCACAGTGGACTGGGCCCTCCCATATCCCTCAGTAATCAAGGAGATGCCCCAGACATGGCCATAGTCCAGTGCAATGGTGGCAATTCCCCCAATTGAGAATCCCCCTACCCACATGTGTCAAGTTGATAACTAAAGCTATCCAGCACAACTATATTATGAACTTTTTGCTTCCACCCCGAACTATATACCAGACTTTTAATTCTTGTTATGCAGCCTACTCACAATCATATAGAAAGGGAAAAGTGCTGAACAACAAAACAAGATCCATATAAGTCTTATACATGAACAATGTGGTATTTTGGCTAATGGGTAAATTGCTCAAGTGATATGGGCTATCAAGCTACCACAACTAGACCCTTAACTCACACCACATATTGCCAAATAACATAGCAATAATCCATGTAGAAGTTAAATTGTCTCAAAATTTATTTGAAAATGGGTAAATTCAGGCTTCAAAGGTAAATTTCACAGGTCAGGCTGAGAATGGTGGCTCATACTTGTAATCACAACACGTGGGAGGTGAAGGCAGGAGAACTGCCATGAGTTTGAGGCCTACCTGGGGAGATGGCTCAGTTGGTAAAGTGCTTGTCTTGAAATCATGAGGACCTGAGTTTGATTCCCAGACCCATGTGCATAAACCCATACAGTGGTGGAAGGCTCCATTGGTAAAGTGCCTGCTGTGCAAGCATGAGGACATGAATTCCATACCCAGAATCCATGTACAAAAGCGGGGTAATGTAATCCCAGCAATGGGGAGGTGGAGACAGATGGATCCTGAGGCATGATGGCCAGCCAGCCTGGTTTTCTTGGTGAACTCCAGGCCAGTGGGAGGCACTCTCTCAATAAACGAGTTAGGTAGTACCAGAGGAACAACCCTGAAGTTGTCCTCTGGACACACACACACATACACATAAATATAAATATAAAAATTATATAGGTCCATAGGACAGCTCAAGGAAGCATACACATTTAATTGTTTCAAATTCATTTCCAGTGCTCAGATTATTTACATCCAAATTTACAGACAATACATCTTCTAATAACACATCAAAATAATCAATTTACTTAAAGTCCATTCCTGAATTACATAACTCCTACAAAGTGTAACTCTGTACAGTTAGAATGTATTCTGTCATTAGTAACTGAACATTCTTAGTCAACAGGCTTAGAAACAGTCTTTCATAAAAGAAATAGTCCAGACATAGGAGTGCTACAAGTGTAGCTGGTTCACTGGCTCAGTGACATCATTCAGGTTCTGGGTTCTTCTAGTCTTTCTGTAAAGGCCATGATAACATCAAATCCACTGCTGGAAGATGTTACCTGGTATCTCATCCAGACAGTGATGCCCAAGATTCTGCTTTGCCTTGCTCAAAACCTTTAATCTTTGAGGAAACCTTTTCTGGAAACAATCTTTGACTTATCCCCTCTCTTAATCATTTTGGACTTGGGTCCTATGGGCATTATAGACCAATTTCTGGCCATGAGAAAGGACTATCACTACCAATTTAAAAACTTACCAGGATTTATCTCCTATCTTTTAAGGAGGAATGGATAGCCAGACTCTGCTGTCAAAGAGCAAGGAATGATGGAGAGGCAGGGAAAATTAACGTGCCCTGAATTACTACAGTGATGAGAGCAGAGAACACTGATAAACACTAGTATACCAAATTAAAAAAGAACAATGCTACCCAGCATTTGTGCTCTATACACTTATGTAAGCACCTGAATAAAAAAGTGGATGAATAGCTACTAGAAACGGGAACATTCTAGGTGTAGTTTTTGTACAGAGTATGGCAAGTGCCAAAGCTATTTTTCACTCTTGGAGACTTCTGGCTTAATTTACAATTAATCTATACAGAGTTCTCTATTTTATACATATATTTCTACCTTTGCTATAGTTCATAACATAAAATGGTTTTCTTTATAGAGGCTGTTATTTAACTAACAATGACCAAATGTGTTTTAAAATCCAAGGAAGAATGCCTGAAAAAGCACAATTCATACCTATCAAATACGTCAGGGACAGTGCATATTAAGATACTAACATAATGGTAAGCTTAGTTAGAATGGATCTTACTATATGTTACAAATTAAAGATACTTTCCCAAACATGATTCAAACAACATATGATTTTTGTAATGTTACATACTAGAAAAAGAACAAGAAACCCTAATTCTTATGTTCCTGGGTAACTGTTTATGTGTAGGCTTAATGCTGTAAACTATGCTATTCTTTTTATGTCTTGTATTTATGGAGTATATTTATTTATAGCTGAGTATCTTCACTTTTACTTTTTACAGTAAAAAAAAATCAAACATCTTTTAATGTTGTTTCCAAAGGAGTGTTTTCCACATTCCTTAATACAATTCCCTAAGCAGTTTGATGTCATATTGAAATGTATTTATATATTTTCACTCCTGTATAGTCTGGTATCTATGTAGTCTTGTTATAAATGTGGTTTCTGTCCTGTGAATTTTCAGATTAGTCTAACTGACAAGGGCTTGTTTCTGCTCACCTCTGAGCTAACATACAGGTGTCCCTTGATAATGTGAAAGTGCAGTTGTAGGACCCCATAGATACCAAAATCGGCACTGTCAAATCCTTATGTAAAATGAGAACTTTTATAACCTACATAACTCTCCCATATACTTTAACTCATCTCTAGATTATTTATAATGCTTAATATCATATAAATGCAATGTAAATGGATAATGTATTATATTGTCTAGGGAATAACAAGAAAGTCGTTACATATTCAAAACAGATAAAACATTTTCTTATTTTTGGTTGAATTCATGAATATGGAAACTACCTGTGCTAGTGGCCAACTGTACATTGGTACTTGACTCCAGATAGGAGTTTTGAGTTCATTTAAAGGATTGTATGACTTTAAAGAACCCCTCCCACATCAACTACATTCACATTTCCTCTCTTATGAATTCTCTGATGGCTATTGAATGCTGACTTATGGTAAAACTTCTTCCCACATTCAGTACATTCATAGGGCTTCTCTCCAGAGTGGGTTCTGTAATGCACAGTGAGGTATGACATCCGAGAGAAGGCTTTCCCACATTCATTGCATTCAAAGGGTTTCTCTCCTGAATGAATCCTGTGATGTATGGTGAGATAGGACATCTGAGAGAAGCATTTTCCACATTCATAACATTCATAGGCTTTTTCGCCTGTGTGTGTTCTCTGGTGTCTATTAAGGGCTGAATTCTGACAGAAGGTTTTCCCACATTCACTGCATTCATAGGGTTTCTCTCCTGAATGAATTCTATGATGTATAGTAAGGTATGACATTTGTGAGAAGAACTTTCCACATATGTAACATTCATAGGGCTTCTCCCCTCTATGAATTCTCCGGTGCCTACAAAGGGCTGAATTCTGGTAAAAGGTTTTCCCACATTCACTACATTCATAGGGTTTCACTCCTGAGTGAGTTCTATGATGTACAGTGAGGTATGACAACTGTGAGAATAACTTTCCACATTCATTACATTCATAAGGTTTCTCTCCTGTATGTACTCTCTGATGTCTCATGAGGGCTGAGTTCAGGTAGAAGGTTTTCCCACATTCTGTACACTCATAGGGTTTCTCTCCTGAATGGGTTCTGTAATGTACAGTAAGGTATGACAACCTAGAGAAGAACTTCCCACATTCGTTGCATTCATAGGGCTTCTCTCCTGTGTGTGTCCTCATGTGGGTTGTGAGAGTAGACTTGCGACAGAAGCATTTCCCACACTCACTGCACTTGTAGAGTTTCACACCTGTGTGAATTTTCTGGTGATCATTAAGCGCTGACTTCTGGGAGAAGGTCTTTCCACAGTCATGACAAACATAGGGCCTCTCTCCTGAATGTGTTCTCTGGTGCTGTGTCAGATGTGTCTTCTGGCAAAAGGATTTTCCACAGTAACTACATTCATAGGGCTTCTCTCCTGAGTGAGTTCTCTGATGCTGAATGAGGTGTAACTTCTGGTAGAAGTTTTTTCCACATTCGTTACATTCATAGGGCTTCTCCCCTGTGTGGGTTCTCTGATGGACAGTGAGGGTTCCCTTCTGGCAGAAGGATTTTCCACATTGGTTACACTTATAAGGTTTCTCTCCCGTGTGAGTTCTCTGATGTATAACAAATTTTGACTTTTTGCAGAAGGTCTTTCCACACTCACGGCACTCGTAGGGCTTCATTTCCATGTGAGAACTCTGGTGGACACTGAGGTCTGACATTTGGAGAAAGGCTATTTCAGATCCATTCCAATTATAGGGCTTTTCTTCCATGTGATTAACAAAAACAGTATCCTTTGGGAAGGCTTTCTGGTATTCAACATACTCAAACGGCTTCTCCAAAATATGAATTTTCTGATAAATATTTTCTTCTCTTAGAGTGTAAGCACCTTCATTTTGGCTAAATTCGTAAGAGTCATCTCCTAAATGTGTTTTCTCAAGCTTAATGTGGAGGGTTTTTCCACATTCACCGCATTCATTGGGCTTCATTTTTGCATAGCTTCCATCACTACTAATAAATTCAGACACACATGTCAAGTTCCTCTCACATGAGTTGCATTTAGAGGCTTTTTTTCTCAAAGGAATAAGGTTCATTTCCGCATTAACAGCTTTACTGGAAACTTCACCTCTCTTTTCAATCGTGCTTTTGTGAATAAACACAGTTGACTTTGAATGTTTCTCTTCATCTCCTTGGATTCTCTCCATAGAGTCACTGGCTTGCCAGATTTCATCTAAAAAGAGGCAAAAAGAACAAATATTTGTACATAGTGTAAACCTACCCACACAAGACGTGGATGGAGACTGATACACAGTCTCATTGTGAGAAGGTTCTAGCTTCACACTACTACTATTTTCTCTCCTTATTCTTATTTGGAATAACACAGATACATCTCCAGTGGTGGAGAAAGGCAGTAAACTGATGAAACACAGCACCTTTGATCTGGGCTATTTTGCAATATTTTGTTCATAGACCTAGAGCAGTGACTAGTAAAAGAGGGATATTTTATGAAAGGCTGATAAAAGAGATAAGGAGAACAAGATACATGGAAGCAGCTCAGTTTGGCACCAAACAAGTACTTTCTGTCACATCAAATTATTTCATAGCACATTGGGAGAGATGGATTACAGTTTAAGGCATTACTGACTACACTGACACATTTATGGTGTCATTTTCACTACTCTGCATCTTTTTCAGACTATTCTACCTTTTTTCCCCCTTTCTACACAGTAGTGCCACACAAATTCACACTGAAATTTTTTCCATGTTTAGAACCTGTAACTTGAGCTTTCCTTCTAACTAAGCTCCACCTGGAAGGAGATTTCTGGAACATCAATCAAGTGGTGTCAAATGGTATATTTGTCACTTCCCTAAAAGCTTAGATTTCTTAAATGTGTGTGTGTGTGTGTGTGTGTATATATAT